CCAGGTGATAGGGAAGAGGAATTTGGCTGCAAGGAAGCAAGCCTGGGGGTCAAGCAGGGACGTAACAGGTACTTTCCCTCCAAAAGCTGATATCATCCACACTGCAGGATGCCTGCCTCAGGCCCCTTACTATCCCTGTGCATCGTGGTCATGTCAGAGCCATGTGCAATGGTCCTTATGGGGAGTTCCACCTCTAGATGCCACAGCATGCCAAGATTTGGTGGTTTGCTCCAGGTAAAGTATAGAGATCATCTTCAGAAGACCTGAATTGGAGATGTGGCTCTCCTGTGAATTTGATATATGAATGAATAATTCTCATCACTGAACTTTTGAACCTTCATCAGTAAAAGAGAGATAAACATCTCTACTTGGGGCTTAATCCTCATGGATTTTGTGACCTCCATCCACAAAGTGCTTTGAAAACTGAAAAATCTTTGTTCAAAAGGGATTACTGGCCTCGTCTGCAATCTTGTCCATTCCCACTTTCACACACATTCAGGTATTAGCAACTGACCCGAGGCATCCGTCCTACTGCCCACCCTAACTAGCTCTTCTTTTTTGTTTCTCTGATCCTAGAAGTGAGAGACATTTAGCACAGCAATTACCATAAAGATAATTCTCTCCAAAATGCCAGCAATGCCTTGCAGTGCTCCTACTATATATCTCCTTCTCCTTCCTAAAATTAAATTCAACTGTTGTGGTAATGCTAGAATGTTCAAAATGCCACTGTATCAACATTCTCAAATATTTTCTTAATCTTAACAGAAATTACAGGTCTGGGAGTCCCTCTGACACCCCCTTCAACTCTCTTCTCTGACCCGTCACGCGTCCCCATCCCCCAAACTCAACACTCAAGTGAAGAACAATGATCTAATTCTGGAGAAGAAAACTTGCTGTTAGGTTTACTGAGAGATGGTTAGCGGATGTTTTAAGTTCTCATCTTCCTGAAGGATTTTTGAAGACAATTTTATAATAGATGGCTGGAGAATTTTATCTACCTTTCACACTAGGTGGGATGGGACTCCCCAGCTTTTCTGGGATGAATAGCACCGGTGCTATCACACATTGTGAGGCCATTGTTTGTCCCTTTGATAGAACTGCGGCTGACAGGGACGAGGTATTATAAGGCTAAAGCTTCCTTGCCACTAATTTATACCTGGGAGTCGTGTCTCGCCTCCAGGCCCTGCTCAGGTTCTGTCAAGCTGAGGCATCTTATCTGAATATCGGAGAAGATACATATCCCATCTCACAGGGATGTAAAGACAGGGTACAGGACAAGAGTTCAGTGCACAGCACGGCAACCTGCATCAGTATCAGCTTTTATAAATCAGCAAAGAGTAAAGATCCTACCGCATCAATCCATCAGTGAAGAGGATTACCAGTGAGAAGAGAAGGGTTCTTCCTTATAAAGACTTACTATAACAAAATTTCTCAAGAACCCCAGCCCACATGATACTGGAGACATATTATGGCCCACAGCAGTGGACAGATTCACTGCTTAGCACATGAAAGGAACACAGAGAGAATCACAATCCCTTTAACTTCGCAGGTTTGATTTTGTTTGACTTTCTTCATTTCTTCCTTCTCTTTTATTTCTTTCCTTTCTCTTTCTCCTTCACTTTTTCTCTCCTCTTTTACACTGTTCTAGGATATAGAAAAATTAAAGCAGCTCATCTCAAATATAGGAGGGATTTATTTCTTTCATCCTTTCAGACATTTTTCTTAATGGCTTGCATGCCAAACTCTTCCAAACTCCTCAGTGCAATGAAGTATAATTGTTTTAAGGCATGAAAGTAAGTTTTTCATCAGTGAAAAGAGAGAGAGAAGTAAATGAAAGCCAGTGGAAAAGCTGAATAGTCCTCATTTGGCAATTATTCCACCTTTGGAAATTTCCAAGGCCTTTGCAATCGTTAATTAATTAGTGAAGATGACATTCCACTTTACTGAGGTTGGAAAAGTGACATACAGAGCTCTAGAAGTTTCCTTCAAACCAAAGGAGGAATGTTAAGAAAAAAACTAGGATGAGAATTTGGAGCTCATTTCTCAAGTCTGTAGTCCCCGCACTAAGCCACGCAGTCCACATGGGGACAGTGAGGCCCTCTGTGCACAGGTGCAGTGGAATACAGCAGAATTCTGCTCAAAGGCCATGGTGAGGGAGCCAACCCCTTCATCAGCCCGTGCCCCCTCAACACACACGGCATTTATCTGGAGAGTCACCAGCCTCCTCCCTTCCCAAAGCACAGATGGCTAAATATCAACCTCTAACCACTCTTCTTAATAATCACAGTGAAAGTACATGATTTGATTTTCCTTTTTAAAATGCACAATCAAATATAATGTGAAAACACATGACACTGTTGAAAAAACAAATATATCAAATTTTTAAAAAATGACATGAAATCGACTGATATTCAAAATACGTAATGTAATAAGTCATCTTGAATAGCTTCATTATTCAGATAAGAAACCGAGTTTCATGCTCCTGGTGTGTGGTTAATAAACGTCCATTCTATCTCCCCAAGCAGGTTGGTGAGAATAGATGAAACCCTGGTGATGTGGCTGGACCCAGTATCTTAGGTACAGGTGTTGCAGTGGGTGCTGATTCTTTTTCCTCCACCAATGGATTGGGTCCAAGCGCTGAGAGGGACCGTCCAGAATGCCAAGTGACATAATGGGAAAACAGAACACTTGACTGGCTCAGTACTTCTCACCAGAGGACTCTCTCCGACTAGACATACTAATGTTTTCTCTCATGTCTGGTAGCTCAAGTGGGGAGACAGGCTCTGCTAACAACTCAGAGGCCATCACCTCTCGTCCTCAGGAACATCACTCAGCCATTCTTACAGTCAGGCTGCTTTGGGCAAAACATGAATGTATCCATATTTTGAATGTAAATGCTGACAGCAATTGTCCCAATCTAAACTTTTATTTTATTATAATCTTCCATGGGGAAATGTGTTGTAGCTATATAAAAGTGCGGTATGTTTGAATAATCTCAATTTCTTTGAACTGGTTGTCTTGGGGGCCAGGAAATGATGCAAACATACTGTGATGTTAACAAAGGGAAAGCTTGCCCAGCTTGACTATTTTGGACAAACCTTATTTAAATATCAAACACATAAATACACACAAAAACTTTAAAAGCATTGCTTTTCATAAAGAGACTTTAGAAAGAAAACATAATGTTTAAAATCGTTTAGAATTTTAACTTGGATCTTTATATTGGAACATGATCATGGCTGGCCCCTCATTCACGTCATGGGCATGGTCAGGAAAACGGATTCCCTCAGTTCTTCATAGGTCCTGCTTGTTACCAAGCTCTGTTCCTCTAAGGAATCTGTGATTCACTTACATAACCATTAATAGAGCAGAAATTTTTATGAGAGGACAATGGTTAATAAGTACCTTATCAGGAATTTTTGGTTACAACGGTGAATGTATGAATAGATCTTTCTGAAAATTGACAGTCTTGTCAGAACTGTGGAAAAGATTAAAAAAATATAGTCCAACCTTCTACCGAATTCATCTCCCCAAATTACCATTCACCTTCTAGCTAACCTAAGGATCTCAAATTTTTCATTTCTCATAGCTTTAATAAAAAGGAAAGGAGGGTTGTGTCCCTACCCAAAGGCTGGAGCTGGCTTGGTTTTTCCATTCATTGAGTTCTCTCATGATGATGAGAAGAAATGACATTGTGCTAGTTCTAGGACTAATGAAAATTCCAACTTGTAGTGAGTGTGTCTGCCTCGTGTTGCATTTTACCAATTCAGAGAAAGTAATGGAGTAGGCTTACCTAAAGGTGCAGGCGCACATCCTGACAATTAAGTCAAACAACAACAACAAAAACTCTGTCATTCATAGAACTTTTATTTTGTTTTTTTGGTGACACAGAGTCTCACTCTATTGCTCAGGCTAGAGTGCCATGACAATAGCCTAGCTCACAGCAACCTCAAACTGCTGGGCTCTAGTGATCATCCTGCCTCAGTCTACTGAGTAGCTGAGGCCACAATGTGCCTACCCAATATTTTCTATTTTTAGCAATGACTTGTCTTAGCTTTTGCTCAGGCTGGTCTTGAACTGCTGAGCTCAAGCGATCTCTTCCACCTAGGCCTCCCAGAGTGCTAGGATTACAGGTGTGAGCCACTATACTGGCAAGTTTTTTTTTTTTTTTTTTTTGGCCGGGGATTGGGTTTGAACCCTCCACCTCTAGCATATGGAGCCGGTGTCCTACTCCTTTGAGCCATAGGCGCTGCCTGGCAAGAGTTTTTAAACCTCATTTAATAGAATTAAACGTGGAGGATGAGAAATGTGAACCAACAAACCTCATAATACTGGAGCCTCTCTCAAAGGATACTAGCCAAGTATCTGTATTACCATAGCCCTGCTTAGCAAACCTGCCCCTTGGATCCTTGGCCACTTGTTTTGGCCCAGGAATTGTGTGATACTAGGTAACATTGCTGAAGTTCTAACCACCTTCACATGGTCACAGCCTGACTGACAATCCCTTCATGTTTGTCCTGCAACCTCTTATCTATGCAGCCCTGTCCTGCAGACCCTCATACCCTATAGGTATGAGATGTAATGGACCTGTTTAGTGTCCAAGCAAACGCAAAGTCTGGAGGAAGTTTCTTTCTCCAAAGTCTGGAGGGAGGCTTTGACTGATAGGAGGCAAGAGTTAGCAGGTAAATGATTTTCCCTGTCTCCCTTGGAACTGATTCTCCTGAAATGGTATGGCTTATATGGCCTATTGGAAGATGAACCTTCAAGACTGAGTAATCCTTCAAATCCGAGCACTTCGTACTAAACAGAAGTCACACTAGGAACATACTTGCAAATAGGATCTTTCTCCTTTCATGTTTCATGCATGTTTCCCTGGGATTTTATTAGCCAATGAAAAAAGAGCAGCATAAACACTTTGCCTTAGGCTTTGCTATCTGGGAAGGCAGACTAACACAGGCAACCTCTTTATCCCCATATCTCCATGCTAATTTGTTTCTTACCTTTGGCTGAAGCGGTGGGGCACAAGGGGCTGGAGCAGGATCCATGATATAGGTCTTCTTGGGACCAGTGGCAGGATACATTCCTGCAAGGTTCTGGTTCCCTGCTCCAGGAGGAGCGTACCCTGGTTCCCGCTTCCAGGTATTTGGATGACCTTGTTGACCATAGGTAGGCTCAGCATCATTTCTGCCCCCATAGCCAGGTCCTGCTGCATAATAGGCTTCATAATGGCGTCCTTGGTTAGGAGCATACCCATACCCAGGCTCTGGCTGAAGTCCTGGTGGTGGAATATATGCATAATCTGGGCCTCCCCTGGTTGAAAAAGGAGGACACTGCCCAGACACAGGAGCTGGCTGAGTGTTATAGCCCTGGGGCCCCGGGCCATACATTTGTCCAGATGAAGGGGCAGCGATATAGTGAGGGCTGGGCTGGGCTGACTTCACTTGCACGTTGAAGGTAGGCCTCGAAGAGGTGGATGCAGTGGTATAAGAAGCTGGCACTGGCTGAGGCTGGGGTTTGAGGGTTCCAATTGGAGCCACGGGTATGGGTCCAGCCTGGGGTGCAGGCTGTGGTTTTAATGTAGACTTTTTGGTTGCTGTTAGAGGCGGCTGGTTTGGAATGACCATTCTCTTGTGTCCTGTGACTGGAGTAGAAACTGGAGGAGAGGCTGTTGAAGTAGTAGAGCCCTAAAGTACAACAGGAGAAAAAGAAGACAAAGATTACTGCCAATGAATAAAACATACATACACAGTGACCAAATACTAAGAAGTGCTAATTATTATTTATGCATCAATTTGTAAAATACAAATAAGGAAAAATCTTGCCTCAAAGAGTTCACAAACTAAAACAAAAATCAGTTGTTTCTACATACTACAAATGAATTGAAAATAAAATTCAGAAAACAATTCCTTTTACAATAGCATCAGAAAGAATAAAACACCGAAGTTATCTATGGAAGAAAGAGATGTATACTAAAAACTATGAAACACTGATGAAACAAACTAAGATGCCAACAAATGGAAAGACAAGTCTGCTCATGGATTAGAAGACTTAATATTGTTAACATGTCCATACATGTTGATTCACTGGAATCCTTATCAAAATTCCTAATTGGTATGTTTTTCAGAAATAGAAAACAATTCTAAAATTCATAAGAAACCACAAAAGATCATGAAAAGCAAAATTGATCTTGAGAAAGAATGAAGGCATTATAATGCCTGATATCAAAATATATTATAAAGCTACAGTAATCAAAACAATATGATACTGGCATAAGGACAGACATACAGACCAACAGAACCAATACAGAGCCCAAAGTAAATCCATGTGTACAAAGTCAGTTGACTTGTGACAAGGATGGTAAGAAAACGCAATGGAAAGGGATGGTCTCTTCAACAAATGGTATTGGAAAAACTGGATATCCATGTAGAAAACAGTGAAATTAGACTATAATCTTATATGAGCAAATAAAAATGGATGTAAAGATGTAAAAGACACAAGACCTAACACTAAAACTTCTAAAAGAACACAGAAATAAAAGAAAAATAAACAAGTGGGACTACATCAAACTAAAAAGCTCCACACAGCAATGGAAATGATCAACCAAGTGAAAAAGACAATCTGCAGAATGGGAGAAAATATTTGCTAATCACACATCTGCGAAGGAGTAAACAACCAAAATGTTTACAATATCAATAGTAAAAAGAAAAGAAAAAGAAGAATTTGGTTTAAAAAACGGCCTAACAACTCGAATAGACATTTACCCAAAGAAGACATGCAAAGGTCAGGTATGTGAAAAATGTTCAAGTTTACTAACCATAAGGAAATGCAAATCAAAACTACAATGAGCTATCACCTTACAGCTCTCAGGATAGCTCTACCAAGAAAACATGAAAGACAAGTTTGGGTCTGGATGTTGGTGGGGATGCAAAATGGTGCAGCTGCCATGGAAAACAGTGTAAAGGCTCATCAAAAAATTAAAAAAATGGAACCACCATAGAATCTAGTAATCTCATTTATTGTGTATTCAACTCCCATGACCCCCCAAAATTGATATCAAAATCTCAAAGAGAGATTAGAGCACCTATGATCATTGTAGCACTATTCACAATAGCCAAGACATAAAAACTTACATGTCTATTGACAAAAGAAAAGACAAAGTATGCTTGCTATATCATACAAAAAATACTGGAGGGCTATTCAAGCCTTCAAAAGAAGGGAATTCTACAAAGTGCAACAACATGGATGAGCCTTGAGGATGTAAGTGAAGTAAGCTGATCACAGAAGGATAAGTGCTACATGATTCCACCATAGGAAATGTCTAAAATAGTCAAATCTATAGACTCAAAGAGTGGAATTGGTGGTTGCCATGGCCTGGGGGAAAGATGAAATGGCGAGTTACTAATCAATGGGTGCAGAGTTTCAATCAACAAAGATGAATAAGATCTATATGTCTCTAGTTCAACATTATACCTATAGTCAACAACAATGCATTGTATACTTAAAATCTGTTAGAGTAGCAAGTCAGACAAGGGCTGTATGCTGTTTGACTCTAGCAAAAGGGAAACTGAGAGCCGCTGTGAGAGATCAGACATACAAGAGGTTCACCTTGCCTTTTCTTGTCTCACAGCCACCATTAATTCTGACTGGTAATGTAGACGTCCACTCCACAGTCATGATACACAGCTCCTCTACCAGACTCTAAACTCCTGGGGTCCAGGGACACCATCCCAGGTCAGACCCTTCCCCTATTAGCCTAACAGAGCTTTCCATGATGAAGATGCATAGAAAACAACTAATGGAAAAATACCACATAACAAGAACAAGAGATACCAAGATCCAAGTGTGAGAACATAACATACAAGTGTCTTGACAATTAAGTTCATGAACATGTCCTAGAAAAAGTTACAGACCTCACTGCTGAGTATCACTATGGTCACCTTTGAAGTCCTCCCCTTGAGAAAAAATGCACCTAAACCACCCTTCAAAGCAATTAATTAGAATTCTTTTTCTGGAATGACCATCGGAGCTATTGTCCTATAATACACAAAACACACAACAATAAGGAACATTACTCAGCAAGACACCATCATACGTAAATACGAACTGAGTTGTGAGATACTGATATACGAAGGTAATGAAACTTTACCAAGTTGTGTGTACAGTGCTGCCAAAGTGAGCGTATGGTGGCAAGTTCATGAACTTAATTGTCAGACTTTGTAAGAAGACAGCTCTGATGGTCAGTCCAGAAAAAGAGTTCCAAGTTGCTCCAAAGGGTGGACTAGGTATTGGGATCAGTGCATAGCTTCTCAAGGGGAGCACTTTGAAGGTGACAATAGTAATATTCATCAACGTGGTATTTAGCACTTTTTCTAGAACCCTGAGGTTCTAGATGGGTTCGTGACCATGTCAGACCATACCTGTCTGTATAGATGATTATATCAGTAGATATCTCTATATAAATAACAGATCAAAATCTGTATCTATAAATTTATATGTCTGTACTTTTATTTCTAAACTATGTAAATTTTGAAGTATCTGTTTTGGGGGGCAAATTTTACAGCTGCAGCGGAGTAATTTTTAAATGTGCTTGATTTTCAAAATAAAAACGTGAAATCATGATAAAACTTCAAAAAATTACTGCAAAAAACAAAAATGAAATGAAATGCCAAAAATAAATGCTTGGAAGCACCAAATAATTCAGTAAGTGGGAAAGATTCACTATGCATTTAATTGAATATGTGAGCCAGGAGAATGTTGGCGTAGTGTTCTTTAACCATGAAGAACATAAATAAATATGCTTTAAAATAATTCCTGTTCTTTACCCCTTCCACTTTCAAAGCAATAAAGCATGTAAAATTGTAAAGGAAAAAAAATATATATATCTAAATATGCTATTTTCAAACACATAGTTATGATATATAAAGTTTTCAGAAACATGCCAGTATGCACACAAAAGAATTCGTAATAAAGTTGAAGGAAACCTTCTCATCCCACAGAGTGAGATATTTCCTAGAAGAAAGCAATGGGTCCTGAAATTCTGCACTGATGCTTTAATTCAAAGGCTTTAGGAACGCTTAGATTGTGTGTGTGTGTGTGTGTGTGCGCACCACAAAAACAAGAAAGAGGGAAGGAGAAATTTATGGATCAAGTTGTCTCCAAGGAGTTTAGTCTGCCATTAATTCTTCTGTGTTTACTTCATGAATGTTACTGGTTTTCAAAGTATGTGAATTGTGAAGTATCTGCTTTTGAGGGCAGACTTTACAGCTGCAGCAGAAAGCATGCCTGTCATTAGCCCAGTTGCTCAGTCACTGTCTCCGTTTATAGTTGGGTTTGTAGAGTGTTCAAAATAGGAACTCTGGGTTTCTGCTGATCTTGAGTCATCGGAGCAAAGCAAAGTTTTATTCCCTCTTTCATTCAATTCCATCTACGCTGACTTCATGACTGACATGGTTGTCTAGAAAAATATGTCCTTAAATGTTTTTTTTTTTTTCTTTTATTTCAGGTTAATATGAGGGCACAACCAACCAAGTTACAATATTTAAATTTGTTAGACTTTAAATTTTTTCTTGGTCCAAACTGACTTTCCAAATTTTTTCTTGGTTCAAACTGACTATGATACATTTAATGTATGCTTAATTACAATTTTATCCCCCCTTCCTTTGTAAATAGTTTAACAAATCTACTTCTGGAATGCACTGAAACTATTATTTTTCCAAGAAGCAAGGTGAGGTTCTAACTTTCCTTTTGAAGATCATACTGCCTATGTAAGTTCTATTTGATGCTGATTCAAATCCCCTCTGGAAATAGTTAAGGGACAAAATTTAAATGAACTAAGAAAGGGAAGAGACGAATGCATTTAAAAATAGTTTTTAGCAACATGTATTGAAACAGAATATACTTGAATTTACTGCCAAGTAATTGCAATACCACAAATCCCAGAAATTAAATCCAAATTATTTACTCTATAATAATTTGTTGAAAGTCTGCCATGTGTCAGGCAGTTACTAAAGCCACAGTAAGACAAGGGGAATAATAGTCCCTATAGTCAGAACATTTTCAACTATTCAATATTTTGGGCAAAATATCTATGACAAAACAAAAATAATTCCTACTTAGAAAATTTCTAAGGTAACTAAAAGTAGACAAAAGGTAAAGGTCTTCATTTAAACAGCAACTTGAAACTCAAAACTCCTTCACCAAATGTTCACTCTAGCCAAGGACATCAAAAGCTGCTTAAGACGTTAAGTGAAAATGTAAATGAGGCATGAAAAACACAGAGTGAAAGCAATCATTTGTACAATACGATCGAAGCTCCATCAAATGACATTTCCATATGGACGAGGAATAGACAAAATAGACATAATATGGTTGACTCGTCAAAAGATTAGGATTATTAAGTATTTCAATTTCAGGTATGTTTTCATAACAACTGTTCAAAATTATTTAAGAAGACCTGCTGACATGTTTTTCATTAGTTCCACTTTGAGTATAACTATGCCAGGAAACACAAACTAAAATGCCTATTGGTAACAAAAAGTGTACCAAAGGAAACATGTGTATAATATTTGCTTTGTGCAAACAATTTGTGTTGCACATATTGACGTATAATCCTCACAACTATTTTTGCGACAGAAACGTATTGTCTCAATTTTCCAGAAGAAGATATGTAAGCACAGAGAGATGA